CGGTACCCTCGACCATCACTAATAGCCTTGGGCTAGGACTCAACAAATACATAGGCTGGATTTCCCTCATGAAGGACGTAGTCAGGGTAGAGGCACAAGACCTCTTTCATACAGCACGTAGCGTCAAGAAGACCTATGATCGCAGATGGCATGAAGGCAGCGGCCGTTTTGAAGCAAGCGACTTTGCAAAATTCTTGTCGGACCCAACTGGGCAACCCAGAGGTTGTCACATCCACACATACAGTCAAAGGTGTGCATACTACCTTTGATGCAGACCACACAATCACACATGAGTCGAACTTTTACGTCCTTGATAAGTACCCTTTCAATGCGGTTATTGGCTTGGGCTGGTTGCAGGCCCAATATGAAAGAACCACATGGAAGGATTCACAGTTCATGGTCAAAGATGCCATGGGGATCGAACATCCCGTCTTCTTGGTCAGGTCGCGCGAGGCCTAAGTGATTTTTCTCCACGCGGTGAAATTTTGCAAAAAGTGGCGCAGGTGCAAAAACGATGAGCAATTGTATGTAGCCTTTGTTAGGCCTGTTGGCATGCCTTTTATTTTTGTTGTACATATCAGTTCTACTTCGCATGCTGTTTCTACTTTCATACCTCTACTTTTACATTTATTCAATCTACTTCTAGTCCAAATGGTTGTACTTCAAATTTTGTTGTTTTGGTTGCACTTATGCAGTCCAATATGCTTGCACCAGATTCTGATTCTCCACCGACGGAGCCCATCAGAGATCTGTAATCTTCTCAATCGATTCCTTGAAGTTTTGCTCGAACCGCGTGGAGTTCCCATGTGTCCGGTCCAACACAAGCCCGAGTCGAAAGAGGGCAACACTCCTCCAAAAGGTTGTGTCTATCGAATGGGCTCAAGCAAATTGGAAGAGTTGCGAAGACAGAGCGATGACATGATTGCAAAAGGATGGATCAAGTCGAGCAAATCTGAATTTGGTGCACCAATTTTTTTTGCCTCTAAGAAAGGAAGCAAATTGGGATGTGTATTGATTATCGCAAATTGAACAAAATAACAAGAAAGAATGCATACCCTTTGCTGCGCATTAATGATTTGCTGGATGTTGCAAGAGGATGCAAGGACTTCAACAAGACTGACCTCAAGTTTAGTTACCACCAGACAAGTCGATTGAAGAGCACATGAGATACCTTGAGGAAGTGTTGCAGATCCTTAAGAATGCGCAGCTCCATCTCAACTTAGAGAAATTTGAGTTTGGGAAAGACAGCGTCATCTACCTTGGACATCGATTGTCCGATGCAGGCCTATAGCCCGAGGCAACCGAAGTTGAGGTCATCCGCAAATGGCCTCAACCGGCAACTGTTCGAGAGTTGCATTTTTTTCTTGGTCTCGCGTTATACTACCTTAAGTTTGTGCCTATTTTTTTTATCATCGCTCATCCGTTGCCCAAATTGACAAGCAAGAACGTGTCTTACACGTGGGATTGGGAATGTACGGCCGCCTTCCAAGTATTGAAGGAGGACTTGGTGAGTCATCCGGTCCTCCTCATTGCATATCCTAAACTTACATTCGAAGTAATTACAAATGCAAGCCTGAACGAGATCGACGCAGTGTTGCAACAAGATGATGGTGACGGCTTCCGTCTGGTTCCATACTACAGCAAACGCATGGCCAATCACAAGGTAGCTACCTGCCTTGAGAGAGACACTAAATCATTGGAAACACTACCTCTTGGGTCGTCATTTCGAAGTGTTCTCAGACCACTAGACTTTAAAACTAGGTTGTTTTATCGGACGTCCGGAACCGTCCGGGATGTCCGACCGGACGTCTGGTCGGACGTCGGACCGGACAGGGGATGTCCGACCTAGCGCAAAAAAAAAATTAAAAAAAAAATCATGTGGCTTCTTTCTTGTATAGTAGAAAAAAACAAAAATCTTCAGAGATTCTAATCCCCACCTATACCCTTGCTATCCCCACCAGAACCCCTCATACCCCCCCCTCCACCCCAAATAACACCCTATCACCAAATGCACAGAAAATTCTGAACTTTTTTATGGGGGGTCTCTATGGCATGCGCCACACTGTCATAATTTTTTTTTTTTTTCTTTTTTTTAGTGCCAAAAAGTCATCGTCCGAAAATCCGGACGACGGGGGTACCTTATGTCCGGGGAGACGTCCGGGGGAGACGTCCGATCTCCGGACCATTGGTAACATAGCTTTAAAACGAATCAAGACACAAATTAATCCATCAACTACATTAACCCGTTGGCTGCATGAGATTGATGTGTATGATTTCGAACTCAAACACACAAAAGGTTGTTACAATCGCGTTGCGGATGCTTTGTCTCGCCACCCTGAGTACATGACTTACCTTGTGGGCTCCTACAATCTCCGTTATGAAATTGAAGGAGGAACTAGTTCAGCATACTGCCAAGGACCCGGAACTCAATCTCATCCTTATGCAAATCCAAGCTGACCCTGACAGCCAGCCTGATTTTCCACAAGTGTTAAGGTTTGCTCTTCCGACGTTACAAAAATTATGACCGATTGTATTTGCCCAACCATGAGCCTATCCGTACTCACTTCTTGGACTTTACTCATGGGCGAAGTGGACACTTCTGTTTTTAGAAGACATACGGAAGCCTATTGGAAAAGTTTGTATGGCCTAGGATGAAAGGAATGGCCCGAAAGTTTGTGGCTGAGTATCAAGTTTGTCAACGTATCAAACCATCTCGACAAAAGCCCAATGGGCTGCTGCGTCCTCTTCCTAACCCTGATGGCCCTGGTGAGTCCGTCTCCATTGACTTCACGGACATGGGAAAGAAGAGCAGGAACGGATATTCGCAAGTGATGGTGATCATTGACCGCTTTTCAAATTTTCTAAATTTGATTCCATTGCCACCTCACCCCCCAACTGACCTTGTGATCGAGGAGTTTAACAAGAGGTACATTCTACAGTATGGTCCCCCGAAGACTCTTGTCAAAGACCGGGACACTGGGTTCATAAGTGCAGATTGGAAGGATTTCACCTCACAGATCTACGACATCAAACTCAACATGACATTTGGTCGGCATTCCGAAGCCCATGGATTGGCTGAGGAAATCAACCAAACAATGATCCAACTTCTCCGTGCTCGAGTTGTTCCCGATCACAACTCGTGGGACGAGGAATTACCGATTGTGCACGGGTTGTACAACAACTCCATACACTCCTCCACAGGGATAAAACCTAATGGGCTACACCTCGGGTGGCAGATTCGCGATCCCCTATCCTATTTGTTTCCTTATCCGACACCTGGTCTAACACTTGGCCAGCCTAAGTTTGATCGCTTGCTCAAAGTTGTTGTTGCCGCTATGGAGAGGCAACGCAGTGCCATGATTAAACATGCTAACAAGAAGTGCCAGCCTGAACCTTTCACAGTGGGAAGTTACGTCTGGGTCAAAATGTTTTTTCTGAAGAAGGTGTATCACGAAAGCTTCTTCCTCAATATTACGGTCCGTGGAAGGTGCTGAAACAAGCGGGGGACGATTCATTTGGTCCTTCTTATACGATCGATGTGCCTTCTCACCTCCGCACGTACCCAGTCTCGAGGCCGGTATCACGCCAAGTAGACGTAGATGTGCCAAGTACTCGAGGTCGAGCATAAGAAGACAACAATTGGCATTTTTAGAGGCCCAATAGTTGTAGGCTAGGTCTAGGCGGGTACCAGTCCAACCAGTCTGAGTCTAGGGCCTGTACGGGCAATATCAGAGTCTGCAATGATGTTTCCCTTCGAAAGGGAGGAGGTACCGGTTGCTTGGAGGCCGTGCGGCCCAGGAAGTCACAGCCCAAGAGGCAGGTAGGCCGCTATAGTGCTGCTCCTCATTCTTCGGTGTGCAAGTTTAGCGACACACTGCTTGGAGTGTTGGTTGGAGGAGCGCTGGGCACTTCAGAGCTGCTAGGAGGAAGGAGACCTGGAGCTCCCACCTCAGCTATGGTGGAGCTCTACCGGTAGGAGGAGGAGGAAGAAGAGGGCTAGGAGGGAGAGTGGCTAGGTACCTACCTGGATATGGTGGGCACGATCTTCATCACCTTGTTAGGTGCTGCATCTGGAAGGCCCCAGTTGGGGTTGAACCGCACCAAGAAGGCTTCAAGGCAGAGTCAGGCATGGCGGCCTAAGAAGCACTGGACATAGCTGCTTTGTGTAGTCCTTTACACAGCAGCGCCAGGCCCTTAGTAGTCCGTCACAGCCTTGGCCTACATGAAGAGGAGGAAGAAGAGTGGCCATGGTTATGGTGAACCTCATGTTGTGCATGCAGTAGAAGAGGGATTCAACCATTGATTCTGGTTCAGCCATTCAACATTATTATTGCTATTTATTGTTTGAATAAGAGGGGAGAAGAAAAGAAGGAAGAGAGAGGTTGGCGAGAAGGAGGGTATTATCATTGGCCTATGCTGGTGTACATCTTCTTCTTCTTCTTTCTTTCCTCTTCTTCTTCTTTCTTTCCTCTTCTTCTTCTTCTTTCCCTCTCTCTCCTCTCAAGTTCATTCATTATGTTTGCAATTGGACGGCATTGTACTTTCCCATGAATGTGTACTTCGAAATTGGCCAGGATCGTAACATAAACAAAAAAGAGAACTACTGGTTATCAGAAGATTATTTATTTGTCCGGAACGAAAAACAACAACAAAAAAGATGGCTATCCTTTATGTGAAAAGACCTGACTCTATGAGCGACACATCTATCGATGAAACAATCCTCTCCTCTCCCTTGATTGGTGGAGATTTTTTGCTTGCAAATTCTCCCCCACGGGCCAGCCGCCAAAAAATCACAATTCTCAGGGCGTATACCCACACTAGCACTTTTTCACTTATTTCTGGACGGAATTGCGGCCAGATGCATACAAGTCCGGCCGTAAATGCGGTCAGGAACATTTAAGATAATGGAAGGGGGAAAAAAAAACGAAAGCACAATGCGCATCAAAACAGACAAAAGCAGTAGAGAGGGACGACAGAGGAATCTGGCCAGATATACTTACTTGTCTGGTACGAAGTCGTTCTTCACCAAACACCGCTGAATCACACACGCATGGCGATGACAAGGTTCTTCCTCCTTTTCCTTCTCCTTCTTGCCGAAGAAACCCATATCATCAAACACACCAGAGGATGGGTGTCTTCTTCCTGATCCTTCTGATCACACCTTCTTCTTCCTGATGCTTCTGGTCAAACGACCTTCTTCTTCCCGACGGTTCGCGCCTTCTGCTACGGGAGTTCTCTTCGGCCTTCAGCTGCTGCAGTCTTCCCCCGAACATAACACACGTGTTGCACCTTCTGCTACGGGAGTTCTCTTCGGCCTTCAGCTGCTGCAGTCTTCCCCCGAACATAACACACGTGTTGTAAACGAATACAACGCATAGGTTACCGGAGTTCTCTTCTGCCTTCGGCTGTTGCAGTCTTGCCCCGAACATAACACACGTGTTGTAAACGAATACAACGCATAGGTTGCTTTCTATTCGAATTCAACGCGTGCAAATTTTCTATTCGAATACAACGCCTGAGCGTTCAATTCGAACAGCTGGTATTATTCGATTACAAGACATGTGAGTTCTATTCGAATCCTCGATCTTTTTCAAAAACTTGAATTCAACGCATGTGCGTTATGTTCGGCGGAAGACGCGGTAGAGTGTCTTCTTCCTGATTGCTCTGCCCAAACGTACGTAATCACGAAGAGACGAGAGGAGGGGTTTTCGGCAAGGTCGACGTGAGTGGGCGGCGGAATGTTGGGAGGAGGGCGACGGATAGTCAGAGAGAACGACGGGAGCAAAACCGGAGGATGAACATGGGGAACGTGCGTGCAGAGGAGTTTGGGAGATAGTGGACGTGCGTGGACGTGCGTGGACG